GATACAGGCGGCCGAAATGAGCTTTCTCCGCAGGGTGGCTGGGCGATCCCTTAGAGATAGGGTGAGAAGCTCGGTCACTCGGGAGAAGCTCAGAGTAGAGCCGCTGCTCCTCCACATCGAGAGGGGTCAGCTGAGGTGGCTCGGGCATCTGTTCCGGATGCCTCCTGGACGCCTTCCCGGGGAGGTGTTCCGGGCACGTCCCACTGGGAGGAGACACCGGGGAAGACCTAGGACACGCTGGAGAGACTATGTCTCCAGGCTGGCCTGGGAACGCCTTGGTGTCCCCCCGGAAGAGCTGGAGGAAGTGTCCAGGGAGAGGGAAGTCTGGGCATCTCTGCTCAGACTGCTGCCCCCGCGACCCGGCCCCGGATAAGCGGAAGAAGATGGATGGACGTTGATATTTACGCTTTCATTTCTACACGCTTGAATTGAGTACTAATATAGAATTTACTTAGGTTTTTTAATTCTCCCCTAAACTAACTTTCTCATGTAAATTACATTGTTTTTTTCTGTCACCACAAAATCATTTTTATCAGTGTATGCCCCGCCTGCACAACCGGGGCTTACACCCGGCGAGTGTGTTCTGCTGTTAGATCAGCATCAAACAACTCTCTCAACTGTTCAATAACAGATATAAGACTAAAGTAATATCAGCTTTGTCTAATTTTAAATAAACACTCTCACAAAAAAAGATCCAATATTAACTTAAGTAAGAAATACTTTTGCTATGTTTAAATAAATGTTCAGTGATATTTTCAAAAGATTTTTTAATTTTGCCGCAATTTTTTCTCTATATGTGTTGATATGGCAACAAGTAAACACACTAAGTTTCGTCATGCCGGCATGTGTGGAAGTATTTAAAACAAGTGTGCTACAACTAGCCGTGCGTTACGTTGTGCCCCGCTCACCCATACACCAAATTCATAATCTATACCGGGATCCCAGATGGCCATCCTTGATAAATAGTGCTTGTGAACGACTGTTGGGATAGAAGTAGTGGAGGCTTGGACCCGGGAACGGTGGTCTGTATGTCACGACTTAACAAGCAGATACAGACACTGCATCCATTCTGTCCGCCATATTCTCTAACTGACATGCATCCGAATCTGGGCTCAAAAAAAAAAATCCATTGTTTCCCACTCATAATTACGACTTTGTGGTAAAGTGAAGTGAATTCTCTCCTCCATTGACATCCAAAAAATAAAAACGTCTGGTATCCTTCCCACTTTTATTTTGCTAACCTTGTAGGTTTCACTTTCACCTCCTGTGTTGAGTTTCTACTTCTTCTTCTGAGTGGGCGAATCAGAGGCGTATTGCTCTCCTCAGTTCATCTGAAGAACTCTGCTTTATAGGTTATATCATTATATAAATCCAGTTTGAAGCAATAAGTTGATGATAACTTTTGTTGTCTCATATTCCTTAGTACTAAGAATTGATTTGAATGAATAATCTGTAACTCCGCTCTGGATACAAGATGTCTTTCTGACTTCAGTTTCACACAGTTTCTGCTTCTCCACACATGCGTCTGCCAACCACTGCCAGCCCATAATTCAACGCACAGTTCCCCAATACCACCCTACCCCTCTTTCACAATATGTGTGTTGAATGTGTTATTGTTGGCTAAAGTGAAAAATAATATCTGCCTTTATTCTCCCATTCTTTCCGCCATAGTTTTGTTATTCCTTGCTGAATAATAGTGTTTCAGACTGATCTCATGAAATGGCGTATGTATGACACGCCAATTCGTATTTCCATTTTTGGCGTGCTATCAACACGCATAATCGCTTTTCAGAGTGTTTATCAACGGCGTTGACTTAACGTTATATTACTGTATATAAATATATGACCTACCCCAACCCCGTCCCTAAGCCTACCCGTCACTGGGGTTAATACCATTTATGAGTCTTCCCCTACCATCCTAGGAAAAAAAATATCGCTCCCCAGATGTAGATCTACATTTTGTATTGTTTCGCTCGGACATTTAACGGCGTACACATACACGCAAAATCACTCGGACATTTAACGGCGTAGACATACACGCAAAAGATGACGGTTCGTTTTGGCGTGGACATACACGCGGATAGCTCAAAATGCGTATAGATAACACGCCACTTGACTTGAAAGTGGCGAGTATGTTTACTCAAAGTCATGATGTCATGTTGAGTGTTTAGTTCCTGGTTTTAGTTCCTTTTGTTTCTATAGTTACCGTTGTTTGTTTGTTACCATGTTTATTGATTACCCACTTCTGTGTCCTATTAGCCTAAGCTACTCCCCTCCGCTTCCGGCTCATGGGACCTTATTTCATAAAAAACATGTATGAATGTCAATGGCGAGAGACAACTTATCTTTTTATTCCGTCTGAACTGTGCCCTGAATTACACAAATGATGTTTGTCAATTTAAAAGATAATTCTGAAAGTCAAGAAAGTCGCAGATTGCTATAAAGGGGTGGATGGCGCAGTGGATAAGACACATGCCTTTGGTGTGAGAGACCTGGGTTCGAATCCACTGCGAGACACCAATGTGTCCCTGAGCAAGACACTTAACCCCTAGTTGCTCCAGAGGCGTGCGACCTCTGACATATATAGCAATTGTAAGTCGCTTTGGATAAAAGCGTCAGCTAAATGAATAAATGTAAATGTAAAACAGAAGAGTAACATTTAGTTTTATGTGAAAATCGCTCAATGAACTACATCTCCCGGGAAGCGAAACAACGAGCAAGATCCGCTGCTCGTGTGTGTGCAGTCTGGTACAAAACACTCGATGACGGCGTAACGTTACGATTATAACGTAAGACTATAGAAACAATGACACACGTTAGCTTCAGTAAAGTTAGCTTCAGTAAAGTCAGCTTCAGTAAAGTCAGCTTCAGTAAAGTCAGCTTCAGTAAAGTTAGCTTCAGTAAAGTTAGCTTCAGTAAAGTTAGCTTGAGTAAAGTTAGCTTCGGTAAAGTTAGCTTCAGTAAAGTCAGCTTCAGTAAAGTTAGCTTGAGTAAAGTTAGCTTCGGTAAAGTTAGCTTCAGTAAAGTCAGCTTCAGTAAAGTTAGCTTCAGTAAAGTTAGCATCAGTAAGGTCAGCTTCAGTAAAGTCAGCTTCAGTAAAGTCAGCTTCAGTAAAGTCAGCTTCAGTAAGGTCAGCTTCAGTAAAGTCAGCTTCAGTAAAGTCAGCTTCAGTAAAGTCAGCTTCAGTAAGGTCAGCTTCTGTAAAGTCAGCTTCAGTAAAGTTAGCTTCAGTAAAGTTAGCTTCAGTAAAGTTAGCTTCAGTAAAGTCAGCTTCTGTAAAGTCAGCTTCAGTAAAGTCAGCTTCAGTAAAGTCAGCTTCAGTAAAGTTAGCTTCAGTAAGGTCAGCTTCAGTAAAGTCAGCTTCAGTAAAGTTAGCTTCAGTAAAGTCAGCTTCAGTAAAGTCAGCTTCAGTAAAGTTAGCTTCAGTAAAGTTAGCTTCAGTAAAGTCAGCTTCTGTAAAGTCAGCTTCAGTAAAGTTAGCTTCAGTAAAGTCAGCTTCTGTAAAGTCAGCTTCAGTAAAGTTAGCTTCAGTAAAGTCAGCTTCAGTAAAGTCAGCTTCAGTAAATTTAGCTTCAGTAAAGTTAGCTTCAGTAAAGTTAACATCAGTAAAGTTAGCTTCAGTAAAGTCAGCTTCAGTAAAGTTAGCTTCAGTAAAGTTAGCTTCAGTAAAGTTAGCTTCAGTAAAGTTAGCTTCAGTAAAGGTGCTTCAGTAAAGTTAGCATCAGTAAAGATAGCTTCAGTAAAGTTAGCTTCAGTAAAGTTAGCTTCAGTAAAGTTAGCTTCAGTAAAGGTGCTTCAGTAAAGTTAGCATCAGTAAAGATAGCTTCAGTAAAGTTAGCTTCAGTAAAGGTGCTTCAGTAAAGTTAGCATCAGTAAAGTTAGCTTCAGTAAAGTTAGCTTCATTCATTGAGAGAACATGTGCGGCTTTGGGGTTTGTAGTCTTTGTAATTACGTATTTTCACAGTCTTATACCTCAACAGTTTTACATCAAACTGCGACTTTCTTGACTTTAAAATGTATCTTTTAAATTGACAAACATCATATGTGTAATTCAGGGCACAATTCAAAAGAGATCAAAATATTTGTTGTCTCTCGCCATTGACTACCATACAATATTTTTCCGAAATAAGGTCCCATGGTGGTCGACCGGAAGGGGAGGGGCTTAGGCTCTCTATTAGCCTCTTGTTATGGTGTATATATACCCCTGTGTTTCAGTCATCTTTTGTTGGTCATTGTCTGTACACGTTTTGGTAAAGCTGTTGCGTCGCTCGTTTAGTTTATTGTCTATTGTTTAGTGTCTTTGGACTTTTGTTTCATGTTTGGATTATTGTCATTACCTGTTTGGTTTATCTTCGCTTGTGTATTTTAAATAAACTGCTGCGATTAGATTCCACGTCTTCCCTGCTCAACCTTAACAGCAGTGTTTTATTCAGCACCATTTTTATTTATACTATATAAATAAACTATATCATATGTTTATACTTTCATGTACAAATCCTTATTCCATGTAAAAACAAAATCATTATTTGCAATAGTTCACCCCTTTCTCCTGCTTGTCTGAAATATCATTATTTTGTAAAACAGAAATGCAGTCAGTTATAGAATAACCATATATTTATTTAATAAAGTTGCATTAATACCTCTCATTATTATTTCTTGCTATCAGTTAAAAAATAGTTTTACATGCTACGGTTCTAAATCAAGATCTACAGGTTGAATGAGAAATTTGACACAAAACAGGAAATATATTCTGAATAATGTATTGTGTGGGGGCCGAAAGAAATAGTGCAATGACAATGTTTATGAAGGTCAAGAAGCCTGTTTATTTTTTACTAGAAGCATTAAAAGAAAAACAGAAGTCCATAATTAACTTAGGATTGCCGTAGGTATAAACAAATATTTCACATGTTATCTAACATCAAATCTTTGTGAATAAAGTGTCTAAAACAAGCAACCAATCCGCGCTCGTGTTGAAGACAGACACGATGACGTCAGCGGCGCCTTGCTCCAGACGCACGTGAACGCGCCCGAGAAGAAGAAACTCTCGCACGCTGGCAAACGGGGTCACGAACTATGACCTTTCACTGGAGTAAAAACAATAACAAATAATGTGCAATAAACGAGAGGGCATAAAAAAACACGTCTGTTCATATCACAGGTAAGCAGCTTTTCATTTCTGCATGTCGTACAATGGTTGGTCAAAACGTTCGCGTGGAAAAAAAATAATAACCCCATTTGTGCAGCTTGTTGTGTGGCTGCAGAGAAACAGGCCTGAGCTGTTCTCAAAACTCATCCGAGCTGTCAACAATCGAGCTGGTGTGTTTATTTAACGATAAAAGCCCAACCCGAGCACAGTGTGCTTTAGATCGCCCGGTACATCCCACTTATTCTACAGGAACTGCTGTATACAAGTATAATTAAATCAATTATTTTGATATGGCTAATACATTTGAAGTGTTAGCTGGTTAGCATGAGAGCTAACATATGAACTCGACCCTTTTACCTTTGCCACGCGGGTCCTTCAGTGGGAGGATTTCGCCTCAGTGTTCACTAATTTTGGTCGATTTGTCTGACTTGACATGAATATTGCGGCCATGAGGAATAACGAATGTTTTGAGTATTCATTCTTTTAACGGACGTTTGACCAAGCCTTTATGTTGTGTTTTTTTCTTGGCTTTGCGCCAGAATCTCCATTTTGTTTTGTGTTTTGAACATTACTTCCGCTATGAGGCGGTAGGGTGCTTTTTTATTGAACATAAACGAAATATACATTTATAATGACATTTAAGTGTAGAAGGAGACAACTTAAAGCAAAGCACATAAATAATTCAATAAAAAATGACGGAAAACATCTACATCACTTTTAAATACAACGAAATAAGGTTCACTTACAGTAATTGATTGATAAAGAATTTATCCAGAATTAACATTGCATTAATGAAAAAATTCAGCTTTTTTTTGTCATCCAACAACATTCTAAATACAACATGGTTTGTAGATAAAGTAGACAATGACTGCATGTAATAAAATAAAATATAATCAGTTGTTTGGAAGCTTGTTTTCACCACGGGATAAAAAATAAAAAAGGTAAATGTGACTTTTTATCTGACAATTCTGAGTTTTTCCCCCGCAAAATGTTATAAACTCCAACCCTCTACGGACACACTAACGCTCGAGTCGCCATTGGCTAGTAATTTTTTTATTTTGCTAACCAGACATGGATTGCAAGAACAATGCAAAATAAAAAATAAAAAATTCTACACAAATATAATATAAAATTTTAATTTCAAACACCATTAGGGTCAAGTAAGCCTGTAATCAAATAAGAACAAATAATCAAACTACAAGCAAAAGCACAGATAAACTCAATAGAACAAAGATGAAAATGAAATAAACACTAACAGTTCAGATAAGGTAGAGAAATTGAATAATTCACTGTATAGCCTAAATAAAATATAGATGAATCGTTATTAAAGTTACAAAAGTTATTCAGTCAAGAGCAGTGAGTAGTTTTTTTTTGCAGAATTTAAAACAAAAGCAGTAGAAATAATAGGCTACTGTCACTTTAAGACATAATGCACAGATCATATATACTGATACACATGCGTTTTCTTTCTTTCGTGGACGATGAGTATATCTGTGCTGGAACTATTTGACTAAAGTGTTTTTTTTTCCCCTGCCTAGATCAAACCACCGATAAAATCTTTCAGAAAAATGTAAAAAATTTCTGCCCATTTCAAATATTGGATATTATGTTGTGCTTGCGAAACATATTGGCTTGGCTATGCTTCATAATCAATGTTTGATTGGCAAATAGGTGGAGGTGTTGTTGGCAGATGCAGAACTGGTCCAATCAGACACTTCTAATGACCTCACATGACCATGACAACCAATATGGAGGTGCTGGCTCAGCAGATATTGAGCACTGAGCAGATTTCAGAGGTGAGTGATGGGAGAGGGAGAAGCACGTGCGTCCTCTGTGCAGTCTATTATAGGACGGATGGCCATATCCATAACACCAAAAACGAGGACACTTTGCGGCATTTGCTACTAACTAGTCAAGCAATAATTGCATAGGACTCTGGTGTCGCAACTACAATACAAATGTGTCCATCATTAAGATGGTATCATGATACAGTGATTCTGAAATAGCCTAGGCTACTCTATTCATTGCCAGATAATTTGATCTACGATATATCTTGATGTAGACCAAAAAAGTGGCAAAAAAGTTTGTTCACAGTATTTGTATTTATTCAAGACATTGTGATTTGCACAGTGCCTGAAAACACAACATTTCTGGACTTCTGGAAATAACAGAAATACATAAATAAACAAATAATGAATAAATAAATACACATTTCAGTTCTTAACAAAGAACTTCTCCCTCTTTTGATATGAATTTGTGCTCTTTTGTAGCCTGGGGAAACCCAGACAACTTCCGGCAAATTTAGATTTGCTCTGAAAGTTAGTCTGGCAAAGAGCTCATTCAAGCCCATTTCCAATCCGCCGAAATCGCGGCACCAATCAGAAGCGTTGGGGCGGGCTTTACACGATGACGACAGCGCTGGGATTTTGAAGCAGATTTTGTAGCCTACATTACAAAGATGGATGCCGCCGTCGAACATCACTCGTTCCAATCAGCTATCGCGTCTGTTTTAAGCCATTTGAACGTTTCCTTTTTGTTAAAAACCGAGCAAAGAACAACACTCGGAGATGTTTCTGCCGCTCTGCATACGTCATCTCCTTCATCGCTCTGATTGGGTTTAGGTCTATCCGCGACGTCCGTTGGTGACGCCCCTCTGGAAATGATTTGTCTATGACGCTTTGCCAGACCATAACTCAGTTACGACTGAGAATGGTCTGGTTTTAACCAGGCTAGCTCTTTTGTCCATTCCGGATTAAATGAGGTCTGACGGTTCGGCATGTTAACGTTATGATATGACGTAGCCGGCACGCGGAGGCTTGTTTACATTTTTAACCAATGCAGATATTTATTTCACACCGCTTTCAGCCAATCATTTGTTTGACCAGAGATCTTACGGTAATAACGCTATGCTGCTGCGTCCCAATAAAGATTCTAGAGCGGGTTTTTTTAGGCCGATTCAGCGCAACCCCAAAAAGGAGGACAAATGAGTGTCCGGCTTGAGGCGGCGCCAAAATCCGGACGTATGGCCACCGTAATTATAGGAAGGAATGCAGACACACTAGATGCCATTCACTTAGTTTAACTCAGTTTGGATGGGAATGGAATGAGAGGTGTATTCGGTTCCAATGGACCTCAATAATGAAGCATAACCATGAGCTGTGAGGTATAAATGAGTTTATTAGGTGTATGCTTGACTAAACGAAATAGGTCTTTAGGTTATACTTTAAATGAGAGAGTCCCGAACAGTTCTAGGAAACCTTTATTAGAAAAAGGATCTAGGCCTACTTCTTTGTGAATTTTGATATTCTAGGATCTATTAACGGAGCCGGAGATTTGCGGGAGCTAGACATTTAAAGCTTTATTGTCACTTCGGCCACGTGCTTTCTTGTTGTGTTGTTTTGCGGTGAGTGCTCTCATTGGCTGCATGTTCGTGTCATGTTTTGTTTGAGCACATGGCTTGTCATGTTTGTTTCTATGTGCCATGTGTTCTCCTGTTTATAGAGGGTTTGCATTGACGTCACTTTCCTGCCAGAACACACTCCCTCGGCCGGACTGGGTGGCAGAAGAGCTGATTTAATAGGCGAAACTGCGAAACACGAGTGAAACAAACTATTATCAGTTTAAACTGAAGGTTGGACTCGATATAGTGTTCCTTACGACTTACCAAAGATCCAGTGATCCACGGATATTGACATGCAGCAGGAATCGTGTTTCCTGTCAATCGTGTGCCTGATTTCGACGCCGGATAAATAATGCAAATTTGCCTGTGAACGCTTTATATAAATACAATATAGGTAGGTATAAATGCATGTGATCACTGACATCAATGCTACAGGTGAAACTCGAAAAATTAGAATTTCGTGCAAAAGTTAATTTATTTCAGTAATTGAACTTAAAAGGTGAAACTAATATATTATATAGACTCATTACATGCAAAGTGAGATATTTCAAGCCTTTATTTGTTATAATTTTGTTGATTATGGCTTACAGCTTATGAAAACCTTTTCACAATATTCTAATTTTGAATTTTCGGGTTTTCATAAGCTGTAAGCCATAATCATCACAATTATAACAAATAAAGGCTTGAAATATCTCACTTTGCATGTAATGAGTCTATATAATAGGCTATATTAGTTTCACCTTTTAAGTTGAATTACTGAAATAAATGAACTTTTGCACGATATTCAAATTTTTCGAGTTTCACCTGTATATCATCATGTTGTCCATCCCTAAAAAATATAGTTTTTTTTGTCAGTGTTTATTTAAAAACATCCAATTATGCAGAAAATCCGATGGTAAATACTTAATTGATGAGTTGTAAATACAAATATAACAATACAATATATATAAAAGGTATCAATTTTACCCCAAATTCAGCATATTGACACAAAATGAAAACTGCAATTGCACCTTTCTCTGTCTGGATCCAGTTGTTTCTGTGAATTGCAGCGATCCATTTGCTTCTCTGTTCTGTAGCTTTCGGCAGTCTGTAAAAATATACCTATCTATCACATATGCCTAATATACTAATCTAGTTGTACAGTTAATCTCAATTAAGCTCTTTCCCGTTTTAGATGTGTTTTGTGTGATTTTCGCAGCATTCACGCTGAAAACCAACGCTGCCGCTCAGTGTTTCTGTCACTCAGTGTGTGTGTTACTGCAGTCACTCCAGCCGACCGTGACGTCACACGCATAACCTCTATTGTCTAACCGTGCCCTTCTTGTTATCTGATTATTGATTCATTTGCCCCACCTGTCCTCCCTCGTTACCTGCCCTATTTATTCTCCTTGTGTTTGCAGTCCTGTGCCAGTTCGTTGTCATACATTCCTTGTGTCTTGATCCCTGAAGCCATGTCGTCTCCTGCTACCAAGTCTTGTCCTGCCAAGTCAAGCTGACCGGTCCTGTTTTACCCCACGGGGTAGTTTCTGTAATAACAAATAAAAGCCCGTTGTTCTGCATCTTGAGTCCTCGCCTCATCCCTTCACCCAAACCTAACATTTATGTTCATGAGAAGAATTTTAAAATGAAGTGATGGTAAAACATAATCGTATTTGTTGGCTCTAGTAAGCAAAATTTGAAGTTTATTTATTGAACTTACAGTAATAGTGAATTGCAGTAATCTTAGACAACTGTCTTGGTTTCAGTAACTAATACCTATATTGTCAGAATTCAAAAGCATATAAATGTTAATCCAGCAAGAAAAAAGGTATGTTAGTTATGATTGATTAAAAATGTCCTTCACTAAAGCACATACAAGGAGAAAAGTATAGGACCGAATACAGAGCCCTGTGGCACTCCATACTTGTGTTTGGTCTGACATCTCGTCACTAACAAACTAGTTGTGATTGGATAGGTAGGACCTAAACCATGCTAATGTCTGTCCACAAATGCAACATAATTCCCGAGCCTATCCAAGAAAATCTCATGGTTTATAGTGTCAAAGTCAACACTAAGCACTATAAAAGAAGATAAAGAGAGACATAAAGAGCCGTGGTCAGATGATAGGAGCAAGTAATTTGTAATTCTGATAAGTGCAGTCTTTGTGCTATGATGGCGCCCGAATCCTGAATAAAACTCTTCACAGTTACCATTTCTGCAAAAACACAAGAAGCACTAACAATACAAAGTTCTGAAATAGTACTGGTTAGATCAAGGAGGGATTTAAAGCGCCCCTCTTTTGCTATTTTACAGGTTCCTAATTTTGTTTTGAGTCTTCTTCAATAGGTTTACATGCATCCAATGTCAAAACATTTCTCATAATCTCCACTGCAGCATCAGCTCTTTTCTCTCAGTGTCTGAAACGGTTCGATCAAGGATTCAGTCTCTCTAAGCCCCGCCTCTCTGAGAGCTGCTCTGCTCTGATTGGTCAGAAACCAAACGCTCATTATCATATCTGAATCTCCGCTCTTGATCACAGTGATACGAACAGTAACGATGGCGTGGGTTTCACCGTATCAATCTCATCAAAGTGGATTTGCTTTGTCAGCAGAAAACAGCGTCTTCTCGACACGAACAACACGAACCAAACTCTCCCAGTCTCAGATACACTAGTGTTTGAGGGCGGAGCTAAGAGATCCTGATCAGCCAATCAAGACCATATAGGCTGTAATTATGTAAATTAGTTACAAAACTATTGCAGGTTCAGCAGGAATTGGAATAAGATTGGAATTACTGACGACTCGTTTAGGCAAATTCATAATTGTTTTTTTGTGAATGAAAATCACTCATTTACATTCATAAACAGCTTTTATGCCATACGTGAAAGGTAATATCAGAAATAAGTATAAAAGAGGCACTTTAAGAAATATTGAAAGCAAAGAAGTAGTTTTGAATATAATAGTTTTGTAGTCTTAACTAAGCTATGCATTATGTTCTAACCATGAAATATTTTTTCAAATAAGTTTAAATACATGAAATAACTTCAATCGTACAAATCAAAAAAGATTTGAAAAAATATATATATTTTTGAGAGGGTACTTAGGGAAACATTGCTATATGGCAACGCTGTACCACAATGGAAAACTGTCAAAAGAAGTATTTTTTCCTATAAAATTATAATTTTCTTCTCTATTTAAAAGCACATGTCTTTTAGAAGTTGATAGGTTTATATACTTGGATTTCATGCAAACCAAAAATAAGTAGATCCCTATCATTTGGCTAACTCATCCTCACTCTGGAAGAGCTAACCCTGCACTCTTCCTATTGGCCTTTACGTAAAATATTGCTGTATTAATTTTCTGAAAAGAAGAAATCAGTTTGTTATTTATACATGAATACAACTATACTACAATAAACCAACTCTTTAAATAAATAAAAACTGCAATCATATTGTTGATGCTACTATCTAAAAAAATCCCAATGGTGAAATACATGACAGCAATTCCATTGTGGTACAGCATTGCCATGTGGAAGCATGGATATGTTCTGAATTTACGGTAAAACTATATGTTAGACCAAGTTGATTTGTGAATAAAAATATCTAATTTACTAATTTACGGCAAAAAAAATCTACCATGAGAAGAGATGTTTAGAAATGAGGTTAATAGAGCATTTTCTGGAGCACTTCAACAGGTGTTTTACGTTTTCAGAGTTTTGGAGGGACATTCAAATGTCATGTGACTTAAAAACAGCTGATCATTGGCTACCTTAAGGCCTGCTCTTTTAATTCCCATAGTGCAACAGGTGTGAGGGTGACGGTGGGAAAGAGAGTTCTGGATTGACATTCAAATGTCATGTGACTTAAAAACAGCACATAATCACCCTTTTAATTCCCATAGTGCAATATATTGTACTTTTTCTGAATAGCAAGGAAATGAGTAGAAATAAATTGTTGCCATATGGCAACTCTGTACCATAAAGGGTTAAAATATTGTCAGGGATTTGTCTGTCTTGGTAGCCTTAACCCGGGTGCACACTGCGATTTGGTCGTCTGAGACAAATTTTGCAAATCCTAAAAGATTCCTCTGATCCTTGGCTAAAATCTGAAGTCTTTGATCGCTAGTTTGACGTGTTCACCGACAGCAGATTAATGATCAGATTTGACCTCTGACCTGTGTCAGAAGATTTGACTCTCAGTCCTGCAGTGATTCTCCTACGACCACGGTCAAATTGTCTTATTTTTCAAGACAAGCCATGACCAAAATGAACATTAGAGATTTCTTTGTACCATTTCAATCCCGCGTGTAAAGAAGCTCGCATCACCGAACGTGTCATTGATTGATGATGTAAATCTCCGGACGAGTTGTGTTGTGTTTGTTAGTTTTTAACACATCTTGACTGTCGTAGACATTAATGACAACTGAGATCTTACAGTGTGACAAGACTTACAGCGATGATCGTGTCTGACAAGCAACAATCGTAAAGGACTGTTTTTAATGTCTATTAATAAAAGTGTCTATTAATTAATAATGTCTATTATTATAGTAGTGGTTGACTTATGCCAATAATGTACAAATTTTGAGCCATTAATTTTAACATGGAAATTAATGGAACTTGGATTGACATTCAAATGTCATGTGACTTAAAAACAGCACATCATTGGCTACCTTAAGGCCTGCCCTTTTAATTCCCATAGTGCAGGGATCACCAACCCTGCTCCTGGAGGGCTACTGTCCTGCAGACTTCAGATCCAACCCTGTTCCAACACACATGCATGTAATTATCAAGTAACCCTGAACAGCTTGATTAGCTGGTCCAGGTGTGTTTGATTGGGGTTGGAACTAAAATCTGCAGGACAGTAGCTCTCCAGGGGCATAGTGCAACATATTGTACTTTTTCTGAATAACAAGGAAGTGTGTAGAAATTAATTGTTGCCATACTATACCATAAAGGGTTAAATATTGTCAGGGATGTGTAGCCTAGGTAAGATCATTCCAGCAGTGAGGAACTGTGAATGAGAATATTGGGGAAAGTGATTTTGTGTGATATTATCACTCGCTGCAGTTAACAGTAGTGGTTGACTTACGCCAATGATGGCCACATTTTGAGCCATTCATTTTAACATGTACTGACAGCTGTGGGAAATGTTTCATCCTCATTATCTGTGCTCAAACTGTCTTGTATGAATGCCTTTAATTTAGCAAGCATATGAAAATATGTTTTATGTTTCAATTGTTTTGTTGGGCTCTTTGTTGAAGCGAACCACTTAGTTACCATGGAAACACACTGTCTTTGACTCTCAGATGAAGATGAATGTACTGTGTGTGTGTGTGTGTGTGTGTGTTGCAGGTACAGTCATCTCCATCAGACAGCTCAGTGATGAGCAACTCTCCTCAGCGCATTCAGATCATCTCCACTGACCCCTCCATCACGACCCCGCAGAGAATACAGGTACACACACACACACACACACACACACTCACATTTGAATGCATTTATTTGGATCCGAAAGACATTACAGAGAAAACAAGATCCAAATACTCTGGGAAGGGTCTTTGACAAGGTGACAGATCTACAATTCATGGCTAACATACTTGTACAGGTCTTTTCATTTATAATACTCGACACATCAAGGATTAACAAAACATCTCCACATCTGCATGCTCCCTATGGTACACACGCACTCACACACACACACACACACACACACACATGCATGCTTTTGTCATAGATGATGACACATAGACACATTCACACACACACTTTCTCTCCCACAGATAGTCACTGACCAGCAGACGGGTCAAAAAATTCAGATAGTGACGGCACTGGACTCAAACACTGTTCCCAAACAGCAGTTTATCCTGGCGTCGCCGGAGAGCACCAGTGCCAAACAGCTCATCTTCGCCACCGCTGACAGTCTGGTGCCCGGACGAATCCAGGTATAAAGTCACACAAATGCATGAGTGTTTCTGCAACTGTGGGCACATTTAGTTTTACTACACTACCAGTCCAAAAGTTTGGGATCGGTACGATTATTAATGTTTTTAGAAGAAGTCTCTTCTGCTCACCAAGGCTGCATTTATTTGATTAAAAATTAGGGCTGTCAAACGATTAATCACGATTAATCGCATCCAAAATAAAAGTTTGTGTTTACATAATATATATGTGTGTACTGTGTATAATTATTTTGTATATAAATGCACACATGTATATATTTAAGAAAAATATGTTATTTATTTATAAAATGTTTATATTTATATAAAATATACATTATATATAGGCTACATTCAGTCAATATACAGTATATACATGCAAATATTTATTGAATACACATGCATGTGTGGGTATTTATGTATTAAAAATAATTATACACAGTACACACACATATATTATGTAAACACAAACTTTTATTTTGGTCGCGATTAATCGTTTGACAGCCCTATTAAAAATACAACAAAAAAACTGTAATATTGTTAAATATTATGACCATTTAAAATAACTGTTTTCTATAGTAAAGTGTGATTTATTCCTGTGATCTAAGCTGAATTTTCAGCATCATTACTCCAGTCTTCAGTGTCACATGATCCTTCAGAAATCACTCTAATATGATGATCTGATGCTCAAGAAACATTTATTTTTATTATCAGTGTTGAAAACATTTTTTTCAGGATTCTTTCTTTGATGAATAGAAAGTATAAAGAACAGCATTTATTTGAAATAGAATCTTTTGTAACATTATACATTTATTTACTGTCACTTTTAATCAATTTTATTAATCCTTTATGAAAAAGTATTGATTTATTTTATTTATTTCCCTCCCAAAAATAAAATAAAAATTCTTACTGACCCCAAACTTTTGAACGGTAGTGTTTAATGTTACAAAAGCTTCTATTTCAGATAAATGCTCTTCTTTTGAACTTTCTATTCATCAAAGAATCCTGAAATAAAAATGTTTTCAACATTGATAAGAATGATAAATGTTTCTTGAGCATCAGATCATCATATTAGAGTGATTTCTGAAGGATCATGTGACACTGAAGACTGGAGTAATGATGCTGAAAATTACAGGAATAAATTACACTTTACTATATATCACATAGAAAACAGCTGTTTTACTTTGTAATAATATTTCACAATATTACAGTTTTTTTGTTGTATTTTTAATCAAATAAATGCAGCCTTGGTGAGCAGAAGAGACTTCTTTTAAAAACATTCAAAATCCTAAAACTTCCATCAAAAACTTTTGACTGGTAGTGTATATGGAGGTCACATTAAAATTGTAAACTTTTTTTTTTTTTTTTTTATCACCATCTTCCTTTGTTTATGCTACTTTACAAATGCCTTTTATGTTGAGATTTGATTGTTTTACTCTTGTCCCAGACCCAGAATTTCAATATTAAAGTATTAAAGTCCATCATAAAAAGCTGAATTGTCACAATTTCCCAGCTTCTGCTTTTGACTAAATACAAATAGCAAAAGATGCTATTTATACTAAGTATAAAGAGGGGAAAAAAGTGTTTTCTTTACATTAGAGTGCATTTGAATGTTAAATTATATTTACACAGTGAAAATAGCAGTATTTTCTTTGCACTAAGTGCAAATAGTTGTTAGATGCTATTTATACTTAGTGCAAATAGTGGCAGGTACTATTTGCTCCTCAGTGTATTGTAGTAAATTATAAAACAGTGCAATAATAACAACATATTCAGTGTCTATTAAAATCATAAATGGATGCTTCTCCTAACCCTAACCAGGGTATCCGCGGGGTCTTGAAAAGTATTAAAAGGTGATAAATCAATTTTGGGAAAATTAAGACCCTTAAAAAGTATTAAAAAGTCTTATCACAGCTTTATAAAGTCTTACATTTTGAAAGTATTTTTTCTGAATTAGCTGTCCAACAGTTTGAGTCCCAAAAACATCGTAAAAGTGTGTGAATTTAGTCATTTTTATTAAAAAAACTTTGCTTTGATTTACTATCCCAGCCTATTTGATTGTTTTTTTTTTTTATCAGAGTGGTCTATAGTCTTTATCACAAACTAAAACTGTTAAGTTAAAAGTATCACTGATGTAAATGGTTACAGCTTGAAGTGGCGGTGAGGTATTAAAAAATATTGAGAAGGTCTTGAAAAAGTATTGAAAAGGTATTAAAATTAACTTCAAGATTCCTGCATATACCCTGCTAACCCTACACATTAAACACTTAATTCCTACTAATCTTTTCCTGTTAGGCACTTTTCTAACATTTTCGTAATTTTTATTTAAAATAAACTCCTCTCCGAGCTGATATGCGGTGGGAAGAATGAGTTTGGGAAAAGGCGGATTCGAACTCTGGACAGTCGTGTCAAAAGTTAGTGTTACTGTCTTACTCTCGTTTTGATAATCTGGTCATTTATTTTTCTTCCCCGTTAAATGGATGCATTTCCCATTTCTGACAGTAGATTGTGATTTAAGTTTCACTACCAGCATGTTAAAGTGCCCCTCTTATGCTATTTTAAAGTTTCCTAATGTTGTTGTGGAGTCTCCTACAACATGTTTACATGCATCAAAGGTAAAAAAAAACGGTTTAATTTCCTCATAATATACATTTGCACAACATCATCACATTTTCAATGATTCTCAAACGACTCGTCAAATGAATCAATCCCTCTAAATTTCTCCTTTCCTCGAGCAACTCTGTTCTGATTGGCCAGATAGTTCAGTCTGTTGTGATTGGCCTACCGTGTACAGCGCGCGCATCAAACACAAAAACGGCCATTGCCATAACAATGCCAGCTCTGCTTGCCTCGAGGCTTCCTACACCGTAACCTAAACACAGTAACGAGTGCAGTGATCTAAGTGCTGTAGTCTTTGATTAGAAAATAAACTCAAAACAGAATCTCAGGAACAGGAACATGGATCAGGAACAGAACAACCAACATAAAATGACGTAGAAGAACTGAAACCAACACAGCGCTTAAAAAGACAGCAAACTAGAGGGGTTAATTAAAGGGTTAGTTCACCCAAAAATGAAAATGATGTCATTAATGACTCTCCCTCATGTCGTCCCAAGCCCGTCAGACATCCGTTCATCTTCAGAACACAGTTTAAGATATTTTAGGTTTAGTCCGAGAGCTTTCTGTCCCTCCATTGTAAATGTGTGTACGGTATACTGTCCTTGTCCAGAAAGGAAATAAAGACGTCATCAAAGTAGTCCATGTGACATCAGTGGGTTAGTTAGAGTGTGTTGAAGCATCGGAAATACATTTTGGTCCAAAAATAACAAAAACTAGGACTTTATATAAAATCTGTACTAGATCACACATTTCCACTGTTGGACAGTAGGATATATACTCTCATATTCTTATCTGTGCCCTGGGTTGATCTGTGTGTGTCTAATTGTGCTGTAAAATCCTAACCCTGTATGGTAGTAAGTAATCCTTCTGCCTTTTCTGGTAGTTTGTGACAGATGCAGTGTCAGTGGAGAGGCTTCTGGGTAAAGGGGCAGACATGAGCCGAGCCCAGCCTATAGAGTACTGTCTGGTGTGTGGAGATAAAGCCTCAGGTACACACACATCCAATGCCACATTACACAACATTACATATGAGAGAGGTTTATTACATTAGTCTCATTCTCACACCGTCTGATGAGTATAGGCTTTATGCCGAGCGTCACGTGACCAAACCAGAAAACAGGTCTCATTGCATCCGCTTGTCAGAGAAAGTGTTAACGGCCGTAAGAACTAACTACGATATCTATGGATTTTTAAGGAAATCAGCTAACCTACTAAGTTCACTTTGTTATTGGTGTTTTATGCTATTTAAATATCTAAACGTTAGTGTGAAGAAGAAAAATGAAAAAACTTTTAAATATCAATCTGCACATGCGAGGGACATTGGTTATGCTCATTGCAAGTTATCTTCAGTAAAACCGCAAAAAAATTCATGAAGCGCATTCAAAAGACCTGAATCGGAAGCGATGTGATCTGTTTTCCGGCTTGGTCACGTGACGCTCGGCATAAAGCCTATTGCATGCTGAATTGGCATTTTCCTGCATTGCAAGCCTAAATAGAGTGTAAAGACCATAAGTGCCAATGGTTTCTACGATGTACTTGATGCTTACAATGCTTTTGGGAAACGCAGCCTAGGCCAGTTATAATCTTATATTGGCTGGCTGCAAACAAAAGTTACAGAGAACGAACTAATCACTGGATTTGGCAAGTATGTGAGGTTCATACTGAATCTTTGAAAGATTTGTTTCTGTTTGGCCTAGTAAACTGTGCTTGATCATACATGCTTTTAGATGTATATGTCTGATTTCAGGAGCAAGACAATAAAGATTTACATCACGCCTCAAAAGGTCATGCGAAAACAAAAGGACGTTTTGTTGGTCACTTTAAATGCCAATATCTAGTGCGCAATGATAAGGTTTGTCGACCCGAGTGACACAATGTTATCTGCCGACGACTTAGTGGCAAAACAAGGAAGCGCCATAGTTTTAATCAAATATTAAGAGTAAATGGGATCAGAAGTTCGAAACCCTGCTCTGCTTTTGTTTAATTTTAATTAATTTGACCATAACTATGTCCCTGGTACTTAGCTGGTATTAAGATGCGTTTTAGTCTATCGGATCACAAGTAGACGAGAGACACATTCCCGTTTACACCTGGTGTTTAAATCCGTCTCTTCTGTCCACTTTCAAACACTTCTGTCCTGATTTCTTCGAGCAGAGGGTCTATGGGGGAGTAAATGTTGGGGTTTTTCCAGATCTTTCAATGTAATGGACAATAAGCTCATATACTTTACATATAAACGCGATTGGAGACGACGGAGAAACACACGGAGAACATCAGCTTCAGTTTCTGCTCTGACAGACGCGAGAGAGTGTGTGTGTGTGTGTGTGTGGGTGTGTGTGTGTGTGTGTGTTAGACATCAGGAATGGAGAGAGAACATTGAGCTTGGTACGTTTTCCATCTTCAACCCAAACTTGAGTCTCCAGTCTTCAGTTTAAACCCCGTCTGGCGATCGCTCTTCCCATAATGTTCCCGCATTACATCAGCAGCCGGAGAGAAGACGGCCTTTAGTGGCTGTTTGAACACATTCGATCACATGAGCGTTTACACTACGAAAGCAATCCGGCCGAATGTGTTTTCAACTAACTCTGAGTGGAGGAAACTGGACGAGCTCGAAGCGTTTTAGACCCGTTTACTCCTGTATTTAGAGTCGTCCACCTGTGATCCGATCGACCAAAACATCTTAATACCAGCTGTAAACAGGGCCGAACTATGTTTTTACATGTGAGTTTTGGATTATATTATGTATGTATATGATGTTTGATGTTTTGTTTTTTACATTGATGTCACTGTCTGATTTGTCTCATTCTAAATTATAGGAATTCTTTTCCCTGGAAGAACATAAAACAAACGTTGATTATATATGTTTTATTACTTAATTTTCAACAAAAACAAAAAAACACATTATTCAACAAGTTATCACCTTAATTTTTTTAATATAGATATATATATATTTTTTATATACCCTTACTCCAGTCCATTTTCCGTGAAGCTTAAAACACACAGAATACTCAAAACCTTCATTGATGCGTCTCATCTCTGTGTGTGTTTGTGTGTTTGAAGGGAGGCATTACGGGGCAGTCAGCTGTGAAGGTTGTAAAGGCTTCTTCAAGCGAAGTGTGCGCAAGAGTTTGACATACAGCTGTCGCAGTGGCCAGGACTGTGTGGTCAACAAACACCACCGCAACCGCTGCCAGTTCTGCCGTCTCCGCAAATGCTTGGAGATGGGCATGAAGATGGAGTGTGAGTGTTTAAAACCAATTCAGACCACATGATCATGTGCCTGAGAGCATTAACTTGAGCTGTATTTTTTTTTTTCTACACCCCTTAACCATCAAAATAGTGTTGAGCTCATCTGAGGATCTGTGAACCGTTCTCAGAACTGGCCCATGTTTACAGAAATGTGAGGCAAACAGTGATGTACAGTAACTGACTGTGTTTGAGGACTATGATACTACACAACCTTCCCACAAACAAACATAGTCCTTCGCAGTCTTGGAGGTTTTTGCGAGCGTGTTGTTATCATGAAGAAATAAATTATGACTTTTGTGGTGCAAGAATACATTTTAAAGAGGACCCCTTTTCAAAGTCTTGGTTTTGTTTTTGGGTTTTACTAGAATAGGTTGATTATTTTCCTCATATTCTCCATTGTTGCGGCTCCTCTCTTCCCAGTCTGTCAGTAACGCTCTGTTTACTTCCTGTCTCTATGAAGCCCCTCCTCCTGAAAAGCACACTGTGCTCTGATTGGCCGGCTGGATCAGTGTGTTGTGATTGGTCGAGCGCTTCGAGTGTGTTTGGGAAATGTCCCGCCCCTTTCCATAACCCCCAGTTTAACACACTACTAACTAACTCAACCAGGCCCCGCGCCTTTATTCTGCGCATGAATTATTATAATGAGGAATATTGTGACGTGTTCCCGGAGGAGACTCAAGACTACAATGGAGGCGTTTCAGGAGTTCAGAAACACTGACACTGATATAGAGAAGAACTGGCGCTTTTTCATGCTCAAACAGCAACATCACACACTAAACACAGATGAACATGGGAAAAATAATAGGACCTCTTTAAAAATAAAATGGCACAAATGTGTAGATTGTGGCTCCTTTGAATGTTTCATAATTGCGCAGTGAGATGACTTCGGTGCCTGAATCTCCTGACAGTGTGTTATATGTCAAGTCAAGTCATCTTCATTTATATAGCGCTTTTAACAATGGAGATTGTTTCAAAGCAGCTTTACAGAGATAAACATACAATTTACGGTAACAGAGATTGTTTTGGCTTTATAGCGATTTTTGAATAATGTTATTTGCAGCTAAAGTTGGCTAAAGCTAATGTTACTCCCACAGCTGTACAGAGCGAGAGGAAACCCATCGATCTTCCCAGAGAGAAACCGGCCAACTGTGCAGCGTCCACTGAGAAAATCTACATCAGGAAAGACCTGCGAAGTCCCCTCATCGCAACACCAACCTTCATCTCTGAGAAAGACGCTTCACGGTGAGACCTGAATCCACAATTACAAACAATTTGCACCTAGCTTAAACCAGAGGGTTAGCTTCAAAACAAAGCTTACATGAAGAATGAAGGATTTAATGTGGTACTTCAATACAGCAGCACAGTGGGTGTATTTATCTTATTTGACTACTTATTTCTCAGGCACACATTTTAAATGAAAGCATCTGCAAAGTGAATACATGTGTTTTGATCATGCTTTAATCCTCTGTGCAGGTCCAGGCTGTTGGACTCTGGGATGCTTGTCAATATCCAACAACCTTTAATACAGGCTGATGGCACATTACTATTAGCAACAGACAAAGTAAACACATCTACGTTCTCTGTGTCTGTCAGTCTTTTCTTTTGGGTTTTGTGTAGTCCAGTCCAAGCAAACCTTGGGGTTTTTATTGCTGTGAAACTTAATGTTCTTTTATTATAATTTTATTTTACATATTATAATCATTCAGAGCAGCTGTATCTTTGTTTGTTTTGGTTTTTCATGCTGAAATTATTTGTTGATCAGGCGGAGTCAGGACAGGGTGATCTGGGGACGCTGGCTAATGTGGTTTCGTCATTAGCAAACCTGAACGACTCGCTCAGTAACGGAGAATCGACAGACGCTCAGCTGGAGGATTCACCCAGTGAAATCACACGGTGTGTTATTAATGCAGACGATACACGTGTGTGTGTTTACACAGTGAAGAGATGTCACCTCACACGGCAAAAAATGCTTTTCTTACTTAGTATTTATGTCTTGTTTCCAGTACAAATATCGAAACATTCTTAAATCAATAAGCATTTACTAGATAAGTAAAAAGAAATTCTATCTTGTTTTCCCATAAAAAAAATCAAAAGTGAGTTTTCGCTTGTTTACCATTTGAATTGAGATTATTTTTCTCACCCCATTGCCGGATAATTTTGCTTATTTTATGCAAAAGCTAAAAAAAATTTTTGTTGAAAACAAGATTTAATTTCTTATGTCTTTTTACTTATCTGGTAAATGTTTATTGATTTAAGAAATGTTTCGATATTTGTTCTGGAAACAAGACAAAAATACTAAGTAAGAAAAGCATTTTTTGCAGTGCAAAATGAAAAATCAGTGTTTACTTAAAATGTTCACACAAAATGTTACCATTACGTATTTTTTTATACACGCTTACTCCAGTTCCTTTGCTCTTTTATGTTTTTGGACTGACGTTGAATTTTTAAAGAGCTCATTTCTAACTGTACCATTAAAACAAGGTGAGAATGCATTAATGTTTGTGGTTGTTTCTGTGTGTGATGTGTTTGGTGTCGCAGTGCCTTCGACACGCTGGCTAAAGCCCTGAACCCCAGTGATGCGGCGGAGGGGCGGAGCTTGTCGCAGGTGGACGGGGGGGGCGGAGCTACAATACAGGTGATCAGCAGGGACCAGATCACACCGCTCATAGAAGTCGAGGGACCTCTGCTTACAGACACACACGTCAGCTTTAAGGTGTGTACACAGCATTCTCACATGCTAACGATCAAAATTAAATACACTTCATTTCGATAGTTCACTTTAGACATTTTACTAACTTTCCAACTACATGTCAACTAACTCTCAAGGGAGTATTAGTAGACTGTTAGCTTAGGGTTGTACTTGCAAAGTTAGTTAAAGTCAGTAGAAAGTTGAGGAGCATCAAAATACAGTGTTAGCCGATATTAAACAGTCTTACTCTAATGACTGCTAGTTGACATGTAGGTTCAAAATGTCTAAAGTGTTATAAAAACGACTTTCTTAGTACATGTTCCAGATCTTCAATCCATTCGATCCATCAGTACAGTTCAAGAAAAAAATGTCTTTATGCAGGCCTTAAAAAGGTCGTAAATCAGAGCAGAAATCATAAAATCGTGGCATTAAATGTTGCATGCATAGAAAAAATGAATATCTTCCTCTGTATTTTTGTCCTGTTTTCCAATACAAACATCTAAACATCTTTAAATCAAGACACATGTACTTGAGACGCAAGTCTTGAAAAACTGTTGAGTTTCAGAACACATATCTGTCAGTGAGTTATGAAAACTTCCCTTTGAATTAAGTAGAGCCCATTTACGGATAATTGTTCTTGTTTTAATCATAAACTCACTTCATTTTTGATCAGTTTCCCAGAAAACAAGACTTCATATTTGATGTTGTTTTGTATCTTGATTTGAGAATCTTTAGACGTTTGCACTGGAAAACAAGAAATACTGAGAGAAGAGCATCACTTCAGTGCATTATGACCAGAAGCTTCAGTAAAAGTTATTTCTATTTTCTAGTGGTTGAGAGAAGAGCGATTCAAATTAATTGTGAAATGAATTAAAAAGTGACGGATATCAGACTCTGAAGTGCTGCTAATAAAACTCATTGTGTTTCTCCCTGGACATTTACATTTAGAGAACATATTGATGTGATGTTCCTTTCAATTTATAAAATTTACCTTCAGAAACATCAAGATCCTTCAATCAAAATCACAATCCTTCATCAAAATTCATAAAAATAAGTGTTTATAATCATTCATCAAAAATGTGAACAACTTTTATTTTCTTCTGACTCCACCTGTAGGATAATGTTAACCAAATCGCCATTTAGCAATTGTTTTATGCTGTTTTTGTGGATAATGCAGCCTTCCTAAAAACGTCCCAATGCTCTTATTTAGTTGGTTAGCATTAATGTAATAAAGTTGAGGTTGATGAAGTGTCACATGTCACATTAATCTTCCACAATCCACTGCAAATTCACATTCATATCTGACTCCATTTCCCCACTGACCCGCTTTTCACCGTCCAGTCAAATCCTGACGGATTAAAATCATGTTTTGTTCTACATCGTTTATTTAAATGCCACAAAATGGGTTTTGAATGCCATTTTATGTTGAGTTTAATAATGCATGTGTGTTACGGAATGATTAGGCATAATGTGTGGTTAAGAATATTGATATTGGTTAACTTAATATAATTATTATATAATATTGGGTGCTTAAAAGACAATTATTATTTATTCAGTAAATTATATAAATACAGAATAAGTTAATTTAGCTGAAAAACGACCCTATGTTCTCTTCTGTACAGCTGATTTATAGTTGTTGAATTTATTAAATGTATTCATTATATTTATTATATAATGCAACTCTTGTTCTTTATAATGTAAAGCTGTATTTTATAACGCACTATATAAATAAATAAATAAATATGGCTCGACTTGATATAGTATGTGTAAAAATATAAAGTTTCTTAATTGCAGCTTTTGATATTCTAAGATAAAAATACCCTTTTGTTTTTGTAAACGATGAAAGAAACATGTTCTTATGGAGTGTGTTTGCTTGTTCTCTCTCTGTAGTTGACGATGCCAAGCCCGATGCCGGAGTATCTGAATGTGCACTACATCTGTGAGTCTGCGTCACGCCTGCTCTTCCTCTCCATGCACTGGGCGCG